AATAAAAATTATGTAAAAACCTGAAAAAACAGTTTATTGCTATATATTCAGTACTCCAAACGAATTTATCCATTATAGATTCTTCTGTCACCGTCTATTCATAGGTCTAATTGTTTTATTGAAAAGAGTATTTGCAATAGCAATTACTGGCGAAAACAATTTTAATGGAGAATCACTAAAAGAAGAATTAACCAAATGAACGATATGATGTCATATATAATATTAATTAGGTAACACATACAAATACCTACCATACTCCAGTCACAGGCTCTGCTTCATTTCCACTTACAATAAATAACGGGAATAGTATAGAAAAGACACAGCCACTAGAATAAACAGTTGATTAATTTAAATTTTTGACAAAAAGAAATTCAGAAATAACTTATTACCTTATTACATATGAACTTGGCAGTTGAGTAAGTACTGCTAGTGGCAGACCAAAACCCACAAAATATGGCCAATTATTTTCAATAAAACTTAATCGTCTATGCAACTCCCAACCCATATTGAACCACTTGTACTCAAAAGCATAGAGAGCATATAAAAGGCACATGTGTATAAGGGCAAGAATATCACCTACAAGAGGTAATGGTATCCTGGATACCAGCATTCCTTGACCCAAAAATAATGCTTGAACCAATAAACTAAAAATTGTATCTGCTACAAGCTTGCTCACACTGGACAAAAGTAATGGCCTTCCTTGTCTATACCTATAAGCACTGTCCGCAATGTCCTACATAGTTTATAAATATATAGCATGTGATATTAACCCCTTGAATAGTTACGGGTCAAACTTCTTCTTGTTCAGATATCATATTCATACCTGAAACCATAAACTGTTGACTCCCCTACTGAGGACAAATAGTGGTAGTACCCATACAGTGCCAAAAGTCAATGACAGAAACGGTTTCATCCAAGACCATACAGTCATTCCCATGCCAGGCGAATGTCCAAATATAATTGTCAATAAGTATTTAAGAAATGGAAGTAAACCGCATTCAAAAACTAATATGCTGGCCCAAAATATACCACCATTTAATGCACAACATTGAATTGTTCTTTTCAACACTTTAGATTTCCTATAAATTTATATATCAATATAATTTATATAATATTAACAATTCATAATTAAAACATAATTCTACTATATAATTTTGTATCTTAAATGTACCTTAAGTGATTGAAATGCTTAGGGTGATGAGGTACAGCTGTTGTGTCTTTCCCATGCATTTCTGATCGAGACGACGATTGTTTAAACAATTTTTCATTGATACGTTTATCCATATAAAATAAAACAATGGCTCCTCTTAAACTGTCTATAAATCCTTTGTACATGGCACATATTATTCCCTACAGTCATAACATAAATGTAACAATAAGCTGTTACATAAAATACACTTTTGAGAACTGATAACTTTTCATTCTTAAATATCTACTGACGAGTACAAAGTCCACATTATAAAAACTTATAACAAAGAATATATAATTGTAAATTTATATTTGAACGTAATGAAAAAGAAAAATCAAAAAGCCAAAAAGATATATTTTCCTCTCATTACAAAATTTGCTACTCACTGTCACGTTATCCATACTTCACGAAGATATTCACAATAGAATATAATTAACCTATACGTCGAATATGTTGAACAATCTACCAAAATAATATTTTTGTGGTAACATAACTATCAATGTCATGAACGATACAAAAATGCACTAAAAATACTAATAGATATAACATTTAGTATTTATGACATCAAAGTAAATGATCTTTTCGATACTTTAGACACGTAGATACATATTGTCATTCAATATCAAATAATAACAATAATAATAATAATAATAGTAATAATCTGACGGGTATCTTCCATCCAAGACGCAACATGTACATATATGTATATGTA